AGGCTTCCGAGGCGGCCCTGGGGAACGACCGCGAGGAGGAGGGGCCCTCCCCCGCGCGGGAAACCTGCCATCGGAGTCCCGTTTCCGCGCCTCCCGCCGGGGGCTTCGAAGGGGGGGTTCCCGTCGCGTTTCTCACCGCGTTATGCTACGACGCGATCGGGCCCCTCCCGCTTGGCTGGCGGCCGGTGTATTCGGTGGAGTATCAGCAAACCTACTACGTCCATCGCCATCCCCTCACGGGGGTGGAAACGACGACGTGGGAGAGACCGGAGCTCCCCTCTGTAATACCTTAAACCTCCCTCCCTCTCCCGCACACGGATAGATACACGCACAAACAAAAAGAAGAAAAAATCAATTCTTAATTTTTTTAAAAAAAAAGAACTGTCGTCGTTGTCGTCGTCCACGCGACGTTTGGGTGTTCGGTGTAGGTCTCTGGAATGCATTCCGACAATGCGACTCCCTTCTTCTTCCCGTTCCCTCCCCTTCAACGACAATTTTTCTCATGTTTGGGGTGTGGGGGATTTTTACGCTGTGTTATATATATATATATATATATATATCTTTCTAGTTTCATGAAACGCTCTTTAGGAAGGTCTCCACCTCGATCCTAGTAGAGAGCGAGCGAAAAGCAAGGGGAAGAAAAAAAACAAGTTATAACGGGGTGTGTGAAACACCCCCCAACACGTTTAAATAAATAAAAGAGGGAAAGAAAAAGGGGACAAAAAGCAAACTGACGAGTCTTCGATGATCGCTCTGATCGGCTCCGATGGAAAACGCGCGTACGTACGACGGGCGATCGCGATGGAGGCAAGCCTCGTCCTTCGGGAACTCCTCGACGGCGAGGAGTTCTTTGATCCCGAGCACGACCTCCCAAGTCGAGTCTACAACCCGATGGAATTCTTCCCCGTCGAGGATCGAAAACCTCCTTTTTCCAAAGAAACCCTCCACGCGCCTTTAAACGACGAAAGTAGAGGGCAAGAGAATGGAGGAGGCGCCGCGCTTTCCTCCATCTCACGCGCGTGTGGGGAAGCCAGCCTCACGTGGGATTGGAGTGATGGCAAACGCGTGGAGGAGATCCCTCGCGGCGGGGGTCCTCTCCGGGGGGAGGAGGCGATGGATTTTTTATTCGGCGCTCAACCGGCCGCGGGATCGCGGATCTCCTCCGCCGGGGGGGATCCCTCGCGCGCGAAATCGGTGGAAGGGTGGGATTTTCTCCTCCCGTTGGAAACGCCACGGAGTGGGAGCACCCTTGGAGGTGGAGGGGGCCCCTCGACGGAGTATTTAGACGCGACGGAGGTGCCGTTTCCATATTTCAGCGGGGAGATTCTCGAGCGGGTGTGTGCGCATATGACCGCGCACCACGAACTCCTCCCTGGGGAAGGCAAAGCGCCTTTCACTGTGCGTCTCGTGCGGTTTCGCGAGATTCCACGGCCGATGGTGCTTCCACTTACCGAATATCTCGATCCGGTGGATCAGGAATTTATCCAAGACTGGGATGAATCGACGACGGTGTGGATGGTGAAGGCCGCGACGATGTTGAATTACGAGGCGCTGCTGCAATTAGCCTCCGCGAAGCTCGCGTCGTACTTGTGTTATAAGAATATCAACGGGATCCGAACCCTCCTCCAGGCGGAGAGCGATTTCGCGCCGAACGAGGAGGCGGAAATCCGAAAAGAGCTCATGGAGGATGACGTGTTTAACTAAACGGCGGAAGTCGTCGTGCGAGAGGAGGCGGGGGAGGGGGGGGGGGGATACTTGGTATGGCTTTGGATCTCGATAACAAAACGCACCCTCCCTCAAAAAAGAAAAAAAAACAGGATTCGTGTGTTAATAAAACAATTATGATCGTTTTTTTTTTTAAAGATGCTGCACTACAAATATTGATCGAAGCGATTCTTCCTGTGTGTAGAGAAGGGGGCATAAGAAAATGGATATCTTTCTGAGGGGTTGCATCGGTATTCTGCTCGTGCATTTGTACAAGGTAACGAAGCAAGCTTTAAATTGTATGTTTTATTTTCTTTTTTTCCTTTTTTGCCCACCCAGCCCTAATCCAATCTGGGTCCCATTCCTTAGATGCGCACACCCATGATGAGAAGTCGTCTCTGGCGGGTCCATTTCCCCAAGCGACAGTGGAACCTAGCGACTCCTTGTGTGAATCCAACCCATCTTCCTTCTCCCCTCTTCATGTCCATTTCTCTCTCCTCATTTTTCATTTTTTCCTCCCCCCCCCCCCCGGCTCTCACACACACACGCACACACACACACACAACCTCGCCTATAGAATGTGACCAAGAGTTTATCATTGCGATCCTTATCCAGACCATTCCACGGCTAGTCGACTTTGTCGTTCGCGATATCCTGAACCCCACCTAGGCGATCTTTCGTGTTTTTTCCGCTACTATGGAACTCGCGAGCGGGCCGTACGATCCTTCCGGCTACGGCGGCCACACCCGCTGCTTCTCGCCGATCTCGCGTGGGGCCGATCGCCGCCTGGCGTCCCCCTCCCTTTCCCCTTCCACCGCCCCTCCCGGGCCCTTCGCGATCGGGGACGGGGAAGGGGGCGGGGAGGCGGCCGAGGTGGGGGTGAAAATCGCCGCGGAGCTCTCCAAAGGCGAGGCCCTCACCCGCGATCTCGCCGCGATGATCGGGCATAAACACACGCACGTCCTGGACGCGCGCTTTGGCGGCCCCGCCGGGGTCCTCCGCGAGCTCGACGTCCGCGTCGAGGAGGAAGAGGTCGACGACGACGACGACGACGCGGAGGCGGAGGACGAGGCGGTCGATCCCGACCTCAAGACGTCTCCTGGAACGCCCCAAAGCGCGGGCGGAAAAGGGATCTCCGCTCGATCGGTCGGGAAACGACCCCGGCGACGGGTGCGGCGGTATGGCATCGACGAGGCCTCCGTGGCGGCTCGACGCGCGCGCTACGGGGTGAATCGCCTGCCGCCGCCGGTTCGCCATTCCGTGTGGGGGCTCGCGGGGAAATCCCTGCGCGAGGACCTCCTGCTTCAACTCCTCACCGGCCTCGCGTTGGTCTCCACGGTGTGTGGCCTCCTCGCGCGTGGGGACGGGGACGAGATGGGAGATGGGGGAGGGGGGGTGGAAGGGATGGCGATTTTGCTCTCCGTCCTCGTCGTCTCCGTCGTGAATGCCGTGAATGAATACCAAAAACAATCCGAATTCGACCGCGTCGCCCGCGCCGGGGACCTCGCCGAGCGAGGGGTCACCACCTGGCGATTCGACCCCGCGGGGCGCCGCGCCCCTCGCGAGCTCCCCAGCGCCGCCCTCGTCGTGGGCGACGTCGTGCAAATCAAGTCGGGCATGCAGCTCAGCTTTGACGCCCTCCTCCTCGAAAGTTTCGGCCCCGTCCTCGTCGAGGAAGGGATGTTAACCGGCGAACACGAGGAGGTCCTTAAAGGCCCGTTCGACGACTTCGCCAGCCAAGGAGGCGGAAACGGAGGCGGCGGCGGCGGCGGCGGGGGGGGATATCCCGGACGAGGAGGGGGCCGAGGGGATCCCTTTTTAATCAGCGGCTCGGCGGTGTTGGATGGGTCGGCGGAAGGGCTTGGGGTGGTCTGCGCGGTCGGCCCCCACTCCTTCGCCGGCGCGATCCACCACGCGATCCACCACGGCGACCCCCCGTTCACCCCCCTCCAACAGCAGCTCCACCGGTTAGCCCTGACGATCGGCCGGATCGGCGCCGTCGTCGCCGCCGGGGTGTTCCTCCTCCTGGTACTCCAGGCGATTTGGGCAGACGCAAGGGACCCCGAGGCTTCCCCACCTTCGCCAACCCCAAATCCCCTCGCTCGCAAGCTGCGATCGATGATTTTGCGGCCGTTTCTGACGGCCCTCGCGGTGGTGGTGGTGGTGGTGCCGGAGGGGTTGCCGTTGGCCGTCACCGTCGGGCTCGCGCACGGGATGCGGCGGATGCTCGGCGAGGCCGCC